AGGAAATACCATAGTGATAGACTGTGGGTTTGACCTGTCATGATGGTTGGAAGCCTGGGGAATACTCTTCGGAGACCAGACATCCCTGCTCCGTTCTCGCTATGCCATCTAGTGGAGCAGTGTGCTTGCTACCTGTGTGCCGGCAGAGGACTGAATGCGATTTTTTAACTTACATGGTATGTTTATTCTGTAACATGTATGCACAAATACTGGCAACATACATAAGAAGTGGTACTGCTAGTAAGTGGCAGGTAATGTGTTCAAAGAGTCCTTAAAAAAGCTGCTACATACAAGAATAACTAGTAACATCCCCAGGATGAAAATTAACAAGAGAAATCTAACACTGCAGATACGAACATGTATTATAAAATAACAATAAATAAATCTCGTTGGCACTGGCACAGGATCAATAGGACAGGATAGAATTCAGAAATCCACTGAGCAGGTGGCATTTTATGTAAATGAGGACAAGAATAGCTATCCATTGGGTTATAAATAAAGATGGATCCCAGCCTCATTCTTTCCTCCAAAAAGAGAGTCTAGATGATGAAGGGTTGAAAATTGAAGAAATGAAGCTATCAAACTAAAAGAAACTATGGGTATTTAAAAGATAATCTTAATGTGGGAAAACTTTTCTAAATATGTCAATAGGCCCAGAAGCCATTTAGGAAAAGATGTTTTATCCTTAGAGCAAAACAAAAAAGTTGACAGAAAATTATAAAATAATAATGCTTAAAGGTAAATACTGTATTCAATTCTTTAAGTCAAAATAAATTAATATGTTGACATCATCTAACAGAGTGCTGTGTAAAGAGGAGAGAGAATAAGAGGTAAAAACAATTTGAATTTGTGTTTCTCTGGCTAGCATGTGAGGCTAAGCATCTTTCCATGTGAATGCCATTTGTTTTCCTTCTGTGAAATGGGTGTTTCCTGATGTTGTTCCTGGAAGTTCTTTTTCTCATTATTTTGTTTTGGGTATCAATCTTTTATTATGTATATTTAAACTATTTCTGCATATTATTATTATTATTATTCTTTTTTATTTTTTTTTTAAATTTTTTTTTCAACGTTTATTTATTTTTGGGACAGAGAGAGACAGAGCATGAACGGGGAAGGGGCAGAGAGAGAGGGAGACACAGAATCGGAAACAGGCTCCAGGCTCTGAGCCATCAGCCCAGAGCCCGACGCGGGGCTCGAACTCCCGGACCGCGAGATCGTGACCTGGCTGAAGTCGGACGCTTAACCGACTGTGCCACCCAGGCGCCCCTATTATTCTTTTTTAAAGTGTCCTTTACTCTCTGGAAGTTTTATTATTCTGTATTCAGATCTGTCAGTATTTTCTTTATGACTTCTGGGATTTGTGACTGGACCAGGAAGGCCTTCCTTGCCCAGAATAAAATTATCTTTGGGGGAGTTTTTTTCAAGTGCTTCATATATTTTCATTCAAAATGGCTTTTTAATTCTTCTCTAATTTATATTAGTGGAGAGATCTAAACTCATTTTGTCTAAGTCAGCGGTAGAGGACTCTTTTCTGAGGAAAACTGCTCAGTTTCCTCTTTCTGAGGAAACTGCTCAGTCTCTGAGTGCACAGCAGTCTGGCACTGCCTGCCACCCTCATTCCTCGCTCTTCTTCTTAAACCGGACATTTCATCGAGATGGCTCTAAATTTTAGAGTGCATTTTAATATCTACAAGGAAAATTTTCTTTTCCTGTTCTTTTTCAAAACCTTCTTGGCCTTTCTTATACATTTTCTTTTCCAGAATAATTTTGGACTCAGCTCTAGTTTCATAGCAGTCCTCTTGAAATGTAGGCTGAGAATGCAGTGAACTTAAAAAATATCATTTCCCTAATATTGATGTTTCTTTCTTGGCGCATGTCCCATCTCTCCACCTATTCAGTTTTTCTTTTTTGTCCTTCAGTAAATTGTTCTTCATGCACGTCTTGTGCGTTTTGTTAGGTTTACTCTACTCTTATGTATGATTTTTGTTGATACAGTAAATGAAGTGTTTTTTATTTTTATTTCTTTACTCTAAGTTTTTAACTTCAGGCGAACATTCTAAAGTACCTTTATTTTAACTGTTAAATTTCTGAAATTGGGTTTTTTTTTTTTACATTGAACATATTTATTGTCAAGGTTATTATTTTTTAAAAGAGTTGTTATAAAATCGATTTGCACTTTATAAGTGATGGGATCTTAAATTCCAGAAAATACTGTATATGTCTATAGAGGCAAGATGCCACCTGGGAGCTCTCATCCCTTGGAGAGCCAGGCATGCCTTTCATGAAGTTCCAGTTCCAAAGTCTTCACCATGAGCTCAGCAAATTCGGGATCTCTGCAGACTCTGGCCCCTTCAGCTCTTCATGCAGCCTGAATATCACCCTCATTAGCCAAACCCAAAACTCAATTGGTGTTTTGTGGGGACATTTTATGTTTTAGGTTCCCACAAAGTATCAGTCACACCAAACGTTCTGTGAATTTAGGCTGAGGATGGGAGATCAAGGGAGGATCTGGTTATGTCCAGGAGACCAGTGTCAGGCTCACTGTTTCTTGACCTCTGACCTTTCGCTTCCCCTCTTCCTTCAGTCCCCAAGAATAGCAGTTTGGAAGTCACCTTGAGGCCTCAATTCTAAGCCAAGTGGAGTATTATCTTCCAAAAATACTGAGTGCTTTTCCTGCAGGGAACTCGAATAAGTAAAATTTTCTCTGCTCCCTTTCATATCAATGAAAGCTATATACTTGAATTGTAAATGTATTGTAAATGGTTAATGCGTATGGTTAGAAAAAATCTGGAAAAATACATTAATGGATTTTATTTTATATCACATAGAACAAAGAACAAATAACTGAAGTATTTATTGCATAGAGTCCATTGAAACTCAAAGACCTTTTAAGTCCTTGGGAAACAAATTTTAAATAACATTATTACTGTAAGGCTTAGTATATCTGAATGTAAGCTTTTTTTTTTTTTAATGGCATTGACCCTGAAATTTTAATCTTTAGAGAATTGGGTAGTAGGTGATAAAGTGCTTGAAGACGAACCATAGGGATAAAACATAGTATTCAAGTCATTCTACCGTGCAGCATTTATATTTGTTTTAAGTACATCCGGCTTAGGACTGAATCTAAAATGAAAATTTTAAATCAGTTTGCTCTTGTTTCTTACTTTGAATCCACAGATAACACTGTTATATTTTCAGCACATGTGCTGTTCTTGTTAAATGGAGTAGAATACAAGTTGAAAACTTTAATAATTACAGCTTGTTTTAATCAGGAGCTAGAAGGGAGTGCCCCCTTCTGTCTTCATCCCAGTTATCTGGTGACACTATTCACTAACTCATTTTGGGCATAAAATGTGGTCCCCTCTTCCCTGTTAAGAATGAGTACTATAGAGCTGTTAATACAGATATCATTAAGTGATTTTACAAAAAGTGGGGAAAAAAAAGAAAACAAAGAAAAGGAAGACATCTTGGGGCCTGATGTGTCATATAAATATTTTGTTTTGAGCTATGTGGTGATGTCATTGTGATGATACTTCTTCCCTTGCAGTTAACTCCCAGCCGCAAATCAGGGTATACCAGAAAGTGATGTGAAATGCAAAAGGCATGGGCTACACTGTAGTAATTCATTCATCCTGAACGAGAGACCCGCAGGGTCTGGAGATGGAACTGTGATGGCTCACTCTGCACAGTATGAATACAGAGTGGGTCTGGCCTGTTGTCATGCCTGTATTATGGCAAAGGTGTTGTGTATGGACAACACATTTGTTTTCCTCGTAGTGGAATTATGTGTTCCTCTCAGTGCTGTGGCTCTATTAGTTTTCATATGGGAAAGTGATGCTCGATGTCTTTGACAAAGACTTATTCAAAGGGATAACTTACCATAAAAACAAGTTTGTGCCTACAGAGCGAAACAAAGCAAGGATAGTATCCCTTAAAACTGACTGCTTTCATTTTCAGTGTAAATCAACCATACTGGCAAAACTTTGTTAATGTGTCCTCATCCAAAATGAGTGATTCCTACAATGTTAGAATTGTCCCTCCTTAACATTGGATCTGCTATGGCCCAGCATGTGTTGGGTGTTGAAGGACAGGTTTGAAAATTTAGCATTTTCCCACACAACGAGGGAGAATAGCAACCACTGGACATCTCCAGAACCCCTGGATGCCTCACGATAGCACATATATGATCTGTGTTCTGTACGAGTTAGAGAGATATTTAGAGAAATGATAAAATTCATTAGGCCTATGGATCTTTGGAACTATTAGCAGATTCCTTCTTTTTCTTATCATAATACAGTATGAGTCCACAGATGAAAATTACCAAGTGTAGACCAAATGGAGTAGAATATAAATTGAAAGCTTTAATAATTCTTTTACAGTTATTTTACAGCCCACTCCTTTTATTTTTCATGTTAATTTATTTTTGAGAGAGAGAGAAAGCATGAGCAGGGGAGGGGCAGAGAGAGAGGGGGCAGGGGATCCTCAGTGGGCTCTGTGCTGACAGCAGAGAGCACGATGTGGGGCTCGAAATCACAAACCATGAGATGATGACCTGAGCCGAAGTCAACTGACCGAGCCACCCAGGTGCCCCGAAGTCAGCCCATTCCTAAAATAAAATCTTCCTGGGTGGGGGTGGTCATTAATGTTTTTGTTGTATGTCCAGTCCACATCTTTCACTTGTATCCTTATGCAGATTTATCCCTGACCATGTTTTAAACGTTAGTTTTAATTTTTTGACTGAGATATGAGGCCATTAGCTGCTGATTTGTTGTTTTTATTTGTCTTAACAAATTAACTGTCTGCCCTCTTTATTTCTGTTAGCGTTGTCAGATGAAATATCTGAAACAAAAACAGTTATTTAAAGGAAAGCTTTGTATCCTCTACTTACTAATCGTTTAAGAAGATTACCTGAAGGCTTTTTAAAAACTGGGCTGTTGATGATGTTGATTATGAAATATATTGGCCTTTCATAAAATTAACTGCTGCCTTTTGATTTATAGGATCTCCAAATGTGGGTAAATGGTGCTAATGAACATGGCTTTGTCCTGGTGTCTTTCGGAGCTGGTGTCAAGTATCTTTCAGAAGACATTGCTAACAAACTGGCTGGAGCTCTGGGGAGATTGCCCCAAAAAGTGATTTGGAGGTAAGGTAATAGCATCAATTGTTTCTTCACTGTGTATTTTTGTTATCCCCTTGCTTAACTTGCAGGGCCCTGTAAAGCTAGAACATTGGTTCCCCAGCAAGATTAGCAGGAGCTTCTCCTAACTTTTCATTTTTGTTTCTTAGTGTATTGAAATCTAGCGACTAATTTATAAGACTCTGTGATGGATAAAGAAAGAGACATCAAGCCTTGGAGCATAGAAAGAAAATATGATGCAAGGGCACCTGGGTGGTTCAGGGGGTTAAGTGTCCAACTCCATTTTGGCTCAGGTCACCATCTCACAGTTTGTGAGAGTGAGCCCCCCACTGGGCCCTGTGCTGACAGCGTGGAGCCTGCTTGGAATTCTCTCTCCTCCCCATCTCTCTGCCTCTCTCTCTCTCTCTCTCTCAAAATAAAATTTAAAAACATTAAAAAATCTTTAAGAAAAAAAGAAAATATGATGCAGAATGATTTATCCTTGTGTCAGATGCATTTTTTATGTTACCCTAAGCTTTATATCCTTATTTACCCTAATATTAGTGTCATTTAAAAAGTTGTTTTAATTACATGCATTTCTGTATACTTTCTACATACCTGCAAATCAGTGTTGGAATGAGGTAGAAAATGATAGATGAATGCATAAATAGGCAAAATATTTCATGGAACCTTTTGTCCTCTATAAATGCTTTTTATTTCTTTTACCCCCTCCCCCCCAAAAATAGGCCTTAAAACCGCAATAACTTGCCAGTTAATGCTGGTTAAAACAGATCCTTAGATTACCCCACTTCCCAACAAGTGTCTGTGTCAGTCCACCATGTAAAAATCCGACGTGAACACTATTTACCATGTATTTATTTAGTACCTGCCAGTGCGGCTGGGCTCTGGGGATACAGCAGTGAACATCACCCCCCCAGGTCTCAAGCTGTTACAAGTAGGGCCTGAGTAATATGTCTTTTTCCTTTATAACAATGGTGTAAGGATTAGCTCCCACTTTTCCTGGCTGAGCTATGAAGTGGATACATATTTTATTCCAACTGTTTAGGACTTCTTCCTTTGGATGCCAGATCTATTGCATTTCCTCTAAGGGCTTAACCCAGAAAACACCCTTCTGCTTCAATTAGGACAGTTTGTGTCTGCTCAGTTCAGACTCGTGTCGTTCTCTCAGTTGTGAAGTATGTTCATGGTTTATCTTTCATAGATCAAGGCACTAAATGACTTAATTATAAACTCTGCCCCACGGAGTGCCGGTCCCTGGGGCCAAGCTGGAGGAGAGTACTTTCTGGTTTCTTTCAATTCTCACACCTTCCCGTAGGCTCCACGTGTCAAAGATCGGAGCTATAGACTGCTTAGTGGTGGCCCTCCCAGCTTTTTCATGTTTCTCTTTCTGGGTTCTGCTGGAGAGTGACTTTCTAGCCCAGGCTTATTTACGTGCTTCTCACCTCCAGCCCCCATCTCTGTGATGGGGTGAGAAGAGCTGAAAGAAAATAGATCTCAGTATGAGAGTGTTTTTTATTTCTCTCACAATCAATGAAAATGTGAAAAAGAAACATAATTAAAATTTTGTTGTTAGTAAAGCCTGGTTTCCTTCTTGAGATAGCAATAAAAGATCATTTAACATTTATTTTAAATCTAATAATTTAAGCACAGAGTCCATACCAAGAGTAAAGTTCAGTTTTTGAAAGATTCATTGTCTGATGTACATTTTAGGTTTTCTGGAACCAAACCAAAGAATCTAGGAAACAACACTAAGCTCATAGAATGGTTACCACAAAATGACTTGCTTGGTAAGTCAGTGACACGTGGGTACTTACTTGGCATTTAGATTTTAACTGAGTAAATGTGATTTTTGTATTTGAGCAGTTTATACAATATGTGTGTAGTTTATGGTAGAGTCACTAGATTGCCTAGTATCTCATGTTAGATTTCAAACCAACAAGTCAGATCTTTCTTTGTTGGAAAATGATTTGTAAAATATAATCATTTTATGTCTGTAAATTAAGGTTTTTAGACCAGTCAGCAATTTTAATTTTCTGGAAAATATGCTTAATAAGGTATATAAACCAGCAGTGGATAAAGTTATACCTGATTAGACTAATCAGCTAAAGGTAATAAAATTAAAACAGTGAAAATGTAGATTTGTGTTATAATTGTATTACAGATGTATCTGACTAACCTGAGAAATTCAGAGTTACTCATATGTTTGAAACTAAAAAGAAGGTCAAGAAAACATTTAATTTATCTTATCTTTATTTGTTTCATCTGTTCATTTCCCCTTAAGTCATCAGACATTTTTGAAACACACATTTATTTATTTATTTATTTATTTATTTGAATTCTGATCCTTAACTAAAAATTAAAATAACAGTTATATGAATTTATTTTAAGATATTTGATCGAAGAAATTTAACTCATTTTGTTGTGTTCAATAAGCATTGATAGTAAAACCATAAAGTAATTTCATTAATTTCTAGCAAAACATGATGCTGTATTAACCTTTGAGATATTAAGGAAATTATAAAAATATTATTGATATGGCAATATTGACATCACTTGTTCAACAATACTAAAATCTAACAGCTATATAAGGTGCTTTAAATTTTAAATTACATTATTAAAAATTGGCTTTGAAAAGTATTTTTTAGAAGCTAAAATGGCCATCCTAAAAACCAGCAAATTGAATTTTGCAACTAAAAAACAGTGAGGAATTTTCTTTATATAATTCCTTTTCATCTAGTTCTTCATATATGTTATTCTATAAATGACAAAATTGAATAAGAAACAGGGCAATTTACCTTCTTAATATTTGTATTTTTTTTTTTTATGTCTTTACTATTATGACTTCAGATTCCATGGAAGGTAGGAAGAAGCAGAGAATTTAAAAAAGATAACCTGGACTATCAGCTGTTTCAGTGCAACAGTGTGATGCTGCTCTCTGGGAACATTGAAACTGCTAGCATGGTTTTCTTCTGAGAGCCTCTACGGCAAGGTGTAGCTACTCAGTGGTGCACACCCAATGGCCCTCCTTAAGTTCAGAGCTCTTCTGTGTTCCTCAGAACCTCAGTTCTCTGCCTTTACCAAGATCAGTGTCCTTTTTTATCATTAGGCATGACTTTATGAGTCCACTGTTGTCTTCTAACACTGATCAGAAGATTCCTCCAGGATGAGAAGTAGGAACCCAACCATTATCTTTCCCCTTTCTTCCTTCCATACTATCCCTTGCCCTCCACACACCAGCACTGTCTTATTTTTCACTGCTGGGCTTGGTGGTAAGGTTTTGTTCAGAGAAAAGGTTTTGCTGCAAAAAAAAAAAAAAAAAAAAAAGTTTGAAATGCACTGAGAAAGCAGATCCATTAGGTGGGCTGAGTTGAGAAGCCACTTGTAGGCAAAGGTGACACTGAGTAATTCTAATAGACATGGAGTGGGAGAGTCCCTGCACCCTACTGAGACCAAGGTTCTACATACCATTTTATACCTGGTGTGTATATATATAAAAGACTTCTATTTCTGCAAGCTGTAATTCCTTTCTGGCCATAGCATACATTTCCTAAGTGCAATGTTTCCTTGTCCTACACTTATACAGGGTTTTCAGTTACAGTACCTTTTATGAAATATTGGCCGCTCACGAGGGGATCTGTGTTTTGAAATACCTCATTAATTTTGATAAATTGTCTTCTTTTATCCCCTTGACAACTCGATGTTACATGATGTTCCATCTCTTACAACTAATTTTTCTGTGTCAGTCCCTACTTGTTTATATACCTAAACTGTGAAATTGGACCCTAAAATTGTGAAGCCAGAAGCTGACATGACTTGAATGTTGTAAATACTTTGTACCATACAGTGTTCCTCCTTGGATAAGCACATAAACTCTTCCTGAACTTTAAGAATCTAGCCCCACATTTTAACATATTTTTTTTGTTTTCTTACAAAATGTGTTTTACTTTAAGATAAATGCCTGGGGATCCAGAAGTGGATGTCTGTTTGTAACAGAATGTGGTTGCACCCTGGTATTTTTGGCATTTCTTGCTTTTGTTGACTTCCTATTTAGTATTGGCCTTTTAAATAGATGTTGCTAGCCAGTTGATATTTATGTTTGAGGGAAAGTTGTAATATGCTCTAAAAAGCTATAGATTTTAAATTTATAAATTTAAAAATGACTCTTAATTGATATATACAAATCAATTCACTATTTATATAACAAGTGTTTTAATTGATATAGGGCAGGAATCAGTGAAATTATGCCTTTAAAAATTCTGTATCTAAAATATATATTTAGTATAGTGTTGACTTTTAAGAGATTTCTGGAAAATCTCTTTTTTAGAGTAATATACAATACCCTAAGTTGTTTTCTTTTTTAATCCTTCTTTAGGGCATTCCAATATTAAAGCCTTCCTGAGCCATGGTGGTTTGAATAGTATTTTTGAAACTATGTATCATGGTGTACCTGTAGTGGGAATCCCACTCTTTGGAGACCACTATGATACTATGACCCGGGTCCAGGCAAAAGGCATGGGGATATTGCTAGAATGGAAGACAGTTACTGAAGGAGAGCTATATGAAGCACTGGTGAAAGTTATCAATAATCCCAGGTGAGTTTACAATGAACATGAAAGCAGATGAAATATATATACCATAGCATATTGTCAATAACCAAGTATTGCCAAGAAGTTGTCAATAAACCAATTATAGGAATATCTTTTACATTCCTGTGTCTAAATCCTTGTGCATGTTTTCTATAATTTTAAAAATAAAAATGGCAAGTATATATATATATATATATATATATATATGTATATAGCCAGCCATGTATGACCTTGAATAATATTCTACCAGGATTTGCCAAATTGAGGGAGAAATTACAGTGGGAACAATCATCAGGTCCCTAAAATGTGTCAAATTTTATTTGTTCTTTGTCTCATTTTAATACTCGTCATATCTGCGTATCACTATTTTCACTATTCACATTGTAAAGATGAGGCACTTGAAACTCAGAGGGCTTAAGTAATTTGCGCATAGTTGCACTAAACTATTAGAGTAGATATTTGAACCAGGAATGTCTGATTCCAAAGCTGGTGCTCTTTGTATTGACTGATGCTAGGTTTCCCTAGGACTAAGTATCACTGAAACACAGAGATTTGTTTACATAGTTGCAGAACTAGTCTGAATCTTTAGCTTTTTTAATTTTTATTTCTTGAATGTCCCCAGTTAACCACTGAGTTTCAAATAGTCTAGAGAGCTGGCCTGTGTAGTTTTAAAACAAAGCAGTAGTTTTCCCTACTTTTTCATGACATTTAATTGATCTTGCATTTCAAATGGCAGTAATATTTGGAGGACAATAAGCTTTTTCTATTTTTACCTGGGGCATATGGCTTAACACTTGGATTGGGAAACATTGAGATGTTCTAAGAAACAACCAATAATAGGAAAAATTCTCTCATTTAAAATGATGCAGCTTTCATATAAAAGGCTGGGTTCAAGTGCACCGAGGTTCATTGTGCTGACTTACATGGGCTCAGAGGCAGCCATCATGCTCTGACCTCTTAAAGGATCCAGTGTCTTGGTCGCAACTCTGGCATTTGGAGCAATATGTTCTCTAAGACGTGGGGTGCTTGAGTATGGGGATCCCTTTGTCTGTGTTTTATAGCTCTTCTTTTAAAGTAGAGTGTTTTTCAAGTCATGATGTTTTTATGGAAAATGATATATGTCTTTCAGGACTTTTTAGAAAGGTTTGTAGAATGCAGCCCTAAAGCAGAGTTTATGGGGGGATAGTTACAGAGCTACTGAGATTGGATTTGTTCCACAGAGAAAAAGCAAAAGGCTGGATTATCCACATACCGTCATTCTGTCAGTGTTCTTTGAGATATAAACAGGGCGACACTATAGTCGTAGATCACATTGCCATGAAATCCCAGTTATGCAATCTTCATGTATCCATAAGTACTCTGATTTCAGAATATTGACTATTTTAGAGAGTATTTTCATTATACATATATACATACATGCATATATATGTACTGCATGTAATGTTATATATGGCTTCATGGTGTTGTTTTTCAACTCCTTGTCCTCTGTTTAATAAGTATAATATTCTCACACCATCCCTTAATCTTATTTTAAATCAGAGGCAGAATTAAATTTTATTGCTAAAAAAAAAAAAAGGTATTGAGACAAAGTGCTGCATTTTTCTTCATCTGTCCCTTTTAGAATCTAATAAATGTACTCCTCTTCCTGGTTGAGATTCATTTGTTAATAGAATTTAAAAGCATATGGAGAGAAGAAGTATATGTGGGCAAGAGGTGTGGCATAGTATAAAAAAGAGCTGGGGTTCAGAGACAGAAAAACTGGAATCTGAATCTCAACTTTATAATCATAATCAGGTTGCCTAGTCTGTCTAATTTTCATTTCCCTCTTTCAAATTTATTTTATTGCCTTAACATAAGACAATGTGTTTAAAGCATTTACCACAGTGCTTGGCACATATTAGGTACTTAATAAAGAAAAGTGGCTTTTATTATTTTCCTCATTTTAGAGTGAGAAAGTCTAAAATATATTGAACCTTGTATCTCCATGATCATTCTGTGTTCTCCCTCCACTCCGTAGCTACCGTCAGAGGGCCCAGAAGCTTTCAGAAATCCACAAGGATCAACCTGGTCACCCTGTCAATCGGACTGTCTATTGGATAGATTACATTCTTCGTCACAATGGAGCCCATCACCTACGTGCCGCTGTCCATCAAATCTCTTTCTGTCAGTATTTTTTACTGGATATTGCCTTTGTGCTTTTGCTTGGTGCTGCCTTGTTCTATTTCTTCTTGTCCTGGGTGACAAAATTTATTTACAGAAAAATCAAAAGTTTGTGGTCTAGAAATAAGCATAGCACAGTTAATGGACATTACCATAATGGAATCCTCAATGGCAAGTACAAAAGAAATGGCCATATTAAACATGAAAAGAAGGTGAAATGAGCCAACAGCCCACATGATAGTAACCAACCTGTTCAGTCACTGGATTTTTACTGCTATAATTTAGTCTAACAACTACTAAAAGTAAAATGTCAGTAAACAATTCTAACACTCCCTTATTGGATCTTACTAACAGAATTCTGTGGAATTAAGATGGCTGTAAAAAGCACAAACCTAAAATGCAAAAATGTATTTTATTTGAATACTGATATAGAGAGTTTGGGCACTGAACCTTTTAGAAGCCTTAATTATTTAAATCAATTAAGTGACCATGTCAGACCTTAGTTTTGAATCTTGATATGTGTGTGTCCCAGAAGAGGAGTGGTTTCTTTTCTCTTAAAAAGATTTGTTTGTGTGCATGTGTGTATGGGTGTATGTTTCCTAATTAAGGGAATTTTTAGCTGGCTGCTTGATATATTTGTTGAAGGTACAACACATTCAAGAATGAAATAGAAAGACAGGATCCAAATGTTTCTTTTCTAGAATTTAATATATGTGAACTCAGAACACTACCATGAAAGAACACTTTTCCCTCAAAACTGAATGCAGTAGGAGAAAATGAAAAGATAAATGGCACCTCTTTTGTACTTCTTGGTTCGTTTGTTTGTGATAGTTTTTTTGTTTTGTTTTGCTTTTTATTTTTGTTTTCCTTTTCTTACAGACCGTGGGCACTTCTGGGGGAAAAATACATGCAATTAAGTACATGTATAAATTGGTTGTCCCATTTTACTTTTATTTTCCCCTTACCAATAATTTGTCTCTAGAAGAATTTTATAGTCCTTTCTGTTTCATTTTGGTGAATAACATTATGTGAAATGCATAATTCAGACAAAGCAACAAAGCTCTGACTTTTGTTCAAAGTACTGAAGATTATTGCTTTTATGGCATCTTTAAACAGGGCTGTTTGACTGTTTTTGTAACCGATGGCTTTTTTTATAATGTAACTTTTGAATGTTCAGGTGTTAAGATTTCCAAAGTTTTAACTTTAAAAAACGATCTTCTTCATCCCTTTTGTTGTCTGGGCCACACAATCTATATTTAACATAGGTGCCAACAGTTAATTAAGTGGAGCATTTACAGTTCTCTATACTGGTACCTACTTTGTCTGAGAAGTTTGAGATCTCGTTAACAAATCAAACTTTACATATTACGCAGAAGTGACAGAGAAATTGTATCACTTGTTTGTGAAAATGAGTTTCTGTTTCCCTCTTCACTTCTTCACCACCCCACTTCACCCCACCTCAGTAGTGTTTTCCAGTCATTGTGGAACAATGGAACTGGAACTGGAAATGGAACTGGAACTGGAAATGGAACTGACATGGAACAGTGACAGTATTCATTTGAGGATAGGGATGCAAGTCACACGCATAAAATCAGGACCTCCTGGCTGACCATTCACTAGTTGGCAACTATGAGTTTATTCCATGTCATTCTGTTTACCTAGCATTTGCACTACACATGTTGAGTGTATGCTTTATTTATTCGTAGCTTGAAATCCCATGGCTGACAGCTGAGAGTAGAAATATACATTTACCTGATGACATTCACTAACATGGGAAGAGTTGTGAAAATTCTAGAATGCTGTAAATCCTTGTCATACACTATGACATACAACTTCATTGCACTCCCACCAGGAGCCACTCTCCTGTACTCAGAAATAATGTCACAAGTAGTTTTCTAATGTACAATGCAGACAAACGTACTGCTCTCTGAATACTTGAAGAAATGGTATTATACATATAAGCCTATTAGTTATACCTTTTCACAATCTTATCATTATGTTGCCGTTAAAAGGGAAAAAAGGCACAGGCGATGAATGGTGGGATGGCAACAGGCTTAGAGTGTATGAATGAGTTGATTTTACTTTTTTGGAATTGGATGAAGTTGACAGTAGGCACTCACTGGATGATTAAGCATAAATTAATCTCCACTGTGATAAAAACTTAATAAACATGATTTAAAAATAGAGAAATGTTGTTGGAATAAAATTTTTATTCAGATTTTATTTCACAATATTATGTATATCCATTATAAACATGTTTCTAAGACATGTCTCCCAACTTTTATATGTGTATATGCGTGTAAAAAACAGTATGTTACCTGTGGGAATATTTTTATTATTATTAAACAGAGGGATTTACCTTATAAGTACATCAACATGGATCTTAAAATTATCCCAGAATTAAAAATGTTAAGTGTAGGTATTTACTGATCACTGTTGTTGGTTTTTTGTTTTTTGTTTTTTTTCTAGAAAGCGTATTGTTAGCCAGTTTTTGGTAAATAGAGTGATTTTAAATTTTCCACATTTGGGCTAGATTCTCTAATAAAGTAAAGTTTTCAAGAAGGTATTTATTCATTTGTTATTTAAAAAGAGCCTCTGCAAATATTTTCATAGCTTGTCATCATCATATCAAATGCAAATGAGACATTGATCCATTTTTCCTCCAGAGCCATAACTTTTAATATCCCTCCACATAGACATAGGGGCAGAATTTGGGTGCCCAGGATTGGAGGGAGCTAATGTTTGGGTGAAAGCAATGGTTTATGATTGAAGGTGAAGCAAGCTAGAGATTCTTTCCTGGGAATATAGAAACCTTGTGTTACAATATGAGGACCTAGTCTCAGACTCCCAAGTACTGCATAGATCATTTTCTGGTAAGGTCTTGTCTGGTGTTTATCAGCTTGGGCTTGTTGGTACTGTCCTCAAAGAATCACCTCTGAATGTTATACAACCGCACGTTCACCCCCAACCCCTAGATTTTGATATACAGCACCCCTCTCCGACTGAGCTGGAATCCACCACACTGGGTCCTCAGATGACTGTCCTTCAAAAAAAACCTACTCTGTGATCTGAGATCTATCCCTGCCCTCCTCCTTCCCTGCTAAGTGGTGGTGAGACACTACAGAGTCAAGATGTAGCATTCTGGGTTTTTTTTCCCCCACACATTTCTTGCTTCTGCCAAGACTACAAGAATGTTTGTGCTTGAATGGTCTGATAGATTCTGATAACCTGCCTCAGAGTCTTGTTTCCAGCTTTGCACTATAATTGGGCATATTAGACATTGTAATTAGATACTATGGAGCATAAAACATGCACTGAAATTAAAAGGAAAGAAGTTCACTTTATTGTGAAAACATTTTACGGGCTATTAATATTTATAAATGGTAAGTATCTTCTCTGAAATACACAACTGTAGTGAATTAAAGAATATATATTTATTCACTAGAAATTAGGAACTGCCATGACCGAATGGCATTCATTCAACATTCGATGGGTGCCCATCACACCCCAGACAATATACCAGATACCAGGGGAATTTACAGATGAGAAGGTCAGTCTCTCTTTCAAGATGCTCATGATCTAGTGGGAGAGATGGACACATAAGTAATTATAATGTAAAGTGCTGAGAGCTATAGCAAGTGTATATGCAGGGTACTGTGGCAGCACTGAGTTCAAGGTGACATTGAACTGCATGCTCACTACTAGTTTTGGGGTTGTTTGTAATCAACTCCCATGGCATTAATTGCTTAATCCAGAACACCCTCATAAATTTTTTTGGCAGATAGTTGTATATTGAACTCAAGTTCTGATTGTCTGAGGGTCCTAACTTTGAAGGTTAACTCCATCATTTACTAATCTTTAACTTTGACATTTCTTATTTGTGTAATGATAATTACCTCATGGGCTTATCATGAATACACACTCACACACACACACTCACTCTGTAATGGCCACTATACTAAATGTTTTAAACACATTGTGTGTAGGTATGTGTATGTGTTTAAAACATTTAGCATAGGGGCTCCTAGGTGGCTCAGTCAGTTAAACGTCCCACTCTTGGTTTTGGCTCAGGTCTTAATCTTGGGGTTTCTGGGTTCAGGCCCCGCATCAGATTCTGCGCCAACAGTGCGGAGCCTGCTTGGGATTCTCTCCTCTCTCTCTCTCTCTCTCTCTCTCTGCTCCTTCCCCAGTTTGCTTTCTCTCTCAAAAATAAATAAATAAACTTAAAAATAAAATAAAACATTTAGCATAATGGCCAGTGTAAAATGAGCGCTCGAATCGGTGGATGTTTGTCCTGGACACTTGAATAGACTAACCTCTGTCACAGTAGTGTGCTTTCAGTTTTTGAGAGTTGTTTGAAAAAACATGTTTCATTCATTCATTCACCAACCATTTACTGAGTCTTCATTCATCCAGTGGTGCCCTAGATGGTCACAGTTGTCCTGTCTTCTCTCTGCATAGCCCAACTCCTCACCAAATCCCAAAATCCTGCTAAGATTGAAGGGACGCACCGTGAAAAAAAAATTTTTTTTTTTAGTTTAAAAATGAGAGAAACAAAACAAGGTGACAAAAGTATTTCAAATACAATTCAGTCATCTGTTTTATTGAAAGTATAATCCATTCATTTTCACTTTTGCTTCTAAGTAATTCAGCTGGTTTGTAAATATAAAATCACATTAGAAAATGCTTATTTATAACTGGTTTAATCCAAAACTTTGCAATAGAAAAATTTCAAATTTATATAACAAAGTTTAAGAATTATATGAATTCTATCAGTGAAAATTCCCAAAATATGCATTAAGGAGCTTTTATCCTCCTTATTTCTGAAAGGATAAGCTTTTTAGCCAGTGTTTAAAAAATACATGTTTCATGCAAAAATGTCAGTGAAATTTGTAGATGTCAGCACAACCATTTTTCTAATGAATTTCAGTTATAAATGCCTCAGAAATCCATGTAATTAAAATACTCAGATTGTCATTTTTCTACAAATTCTGCAAAATGTTTCAAGCTCCCTTACACTTGGGTGTTTGAGTTGTTAAGGTGGGGCCAGGGGAAGGATGGCGTGGATGCTCTTATTTTTCAAAATATAGAAACTAAAAGGCATACAATATAATTATATTATGGAAATTTTTTACTTTTGGGTAAATAAGATATAATTTAAGAGTGAATTCATATAGTCCACAGGATTACTGATACTATGCTTAGTTTATGTAATAAAACCAGCAGAGTTTTTTCAACAGAGCAATATGTAATCCAAGTTGACTGAAAAATAAGAACTACATGTAAAATTATGTTATTCAAATAAAACAATTATAATTGTGTAAATCTACTCCAAGAAGTCTAACACCAACATTAACTATCTCAGGTATTACAAAGCATTTTCATTTATTAAATAATAAAACCTGAAGTCCTCACTGAACTTTATACAACTACACATATTTTATTGCTCTGTTGGTTTCTATCTACAATTAGTTTTTACTCATTTAGTAAGCTATTTTGTGCAGTAAGTGATTATTCCTTATTACAGAGGCAGAATTAGCTTGACTTTAATACAGTATTCACACTTTTAAAAGGTAATTTCTACTAAGCCATGGGTTCTTAGTCCTAATACTAAGATCAATTTTCCATTTAGGTCAGAAATAAGTAAAAGATGATGTAACCATGAATAACTTGCTATTGAGATTTTAGATAGATAATTTTGCTATTGAAGGATCTGTTATTCCTTTACTTACCATGGTGCTGCATTAAAATGTCAAATATCTAATGTTTGAAAGGAAGAATTTTTTAAATTTATGCTAATTTTAATTTAGTTACCCTTATGAAATTTTGGCTGAAGTCCATGAGTATAACTTTTAGCAGAAAATCAGAAGTTTTGAGTATAAATACATGAACTAAATTGCAGGTAATGTTAAATTTCGTTAATGATGATGTGTGGTGTTCTATAGCTTGTTGAGTGCATTTTGTTTACAAATCAAAGGGACTGGCAGTTAGAGACCAGGTGTCTAGAAAAGCCCAAGGCTATGATAGTCATGAAAATCATCAGTTCTGCTTCTGATCTTGATTCTGCCCTTTGGATATAACAAGAAGTTCAACTTTTGAGTAAGTAGACAGTTCTAGAGTGCTTAAAAATGCCAGTGTATGGGGCACCTGAGTGGGTCAGTCAGTTAAGCATCTGACTCTTGATTTCACCTCAGGTCATGATCTCAAGGTTCATGAAATCAAGCCCTGCACTGGGCTCTGTGCTGACATCATGGAACCTGCTTGAAATTCTCTCTCTCCCTCTGTCTCTGCCTCTTCCCAACTTGTGCATGTGCTCTCTCTCTCTCTCTCAAAATAAATAAATAAACATTTTTTTTAAATG